GGGTTCAGGGTTTAGGGGTCTTAGGGTTTAGGGGTCTTAGGGTTTAGGGTTTAGGGTTCAGGGTTTAGGGTTTAGGGGTCTAGGGTTATGGGGACTCCTCAAGGGGGAGGGGGGTAGAGGATTATGTATCTTTATGAGGTCCTTGTTACAGGATTTCAGGCCCCCTGCCCCCCTCCCCCCAACCCCCGGAAGGGTCCTTATGATCGGTGTTCTTTAGCATCTACATATCTTTTCATACGGCGGATGCCCACAAAAGACTCTTTGCATGCATACGTCGAAATGAAATGATCTTGGACAGGCCTGTTTGCTCAACGGACCTGATCTGGCCTAAACCCTAAACACTAGATCCTTAGATGCCAAAGCCTGAGCCCCAAGAGCTTCGCAAATCCCTGAACATGAGGGTTTCGGGTTGAGGATTTAGTTTAGGGTTGACACCTTAAGGGTCCAAGCATCGAAAAATCATACTTTCTCCCACACATTGTATCTACATAACTACTATCCTAAACCCAAGTACGTACATGAATTCTTATAGGGTCCTGTTTGACTGTTCGGGTAAGTCTTCTCCCTAAACCCTCATGTGGCGGCGCTTTTAGTAATGCGTGCCTCTTTAATGTGTTTTTTGCTTATTCAAACCGGGGCCAAAAAAGGACGGCCATATTAATGCGTTTTTTTTGGGCCTGGCAATCTTTTTTATATTGTTGCTTCCCTTTTCATAATGACTTATAATGGTTAATCTTCAAGCAGCCACGATCTAAAACCCTCCAGACCCTGAAACCCGAAACCGCACTTAAGCCGAAACCCTAAATCCCCCTTGAGCCTCATCTCAACCTCCCTTTGTTAAACCTCTCCGAACCCTAAAGCCCGGAACCCTGAAGCCTACAATCCCCCTCCAAACCCTGAAACCCTGGCCTGAAACTCTCCCTAGGGGCTTCAGGGTCAATATAGCAGCCTTGATAGTTAGAACAGGGTTTGGGGTGTATTATACTGTAATTCTAAAAAGGAACCCCGAAACCGCCCGTAGTTAAGTCTAAACCCAAAATCCCTCTTGAGCCTAATCTCAACCCCCCTTAACCTTCAACCCTATACCTTACTTTCTTGAGC